CCCCCAACTTGACAATGACGAGCCCACTAAGACCTATGTCATTACGTATTTGTTTACGATAAAGCTATAAGCCGCAACTCTTTTCCTCAGCTTTAAACCATGTGCCTTAAACAACAATGCGACTTATTTGCGTATTTTCTCGATCGCAGGAGGGTCACTCCCTCATCTATTCTTAGCATACACTATACACCTAAAACATTGACTCACTCAGCCCTGACCCTGAGATAGTCGGGTTGTGCACTTCTGCACAGGGCCCTGAACCTGACAGTATCAGGATGAAAATTTCCACTGCTTAATAACGTAAACAAACATCCAATGAGAACAGATTATACTTTATACGTGACCCATAACCATTTTAAAAATAAGAAACAGACTATTATGAGGGCAAAGGTTGCTTGCTTTACCTACAATTGAAAATAACTTTGCACAGGGTAACGAAGTGGGAAAAGTGAATGAGTCTTACGTTATTCTTCCGAGCTGTGAAGACGAAATGGCGAGTAAGGGTTCTGTACGTTTCATGACTCAACAAATTGTCTAACATATTTTGACGACAGATTCCCATGTGTATCGTAGACTACCTGTATTATTTTTTGTGTAAATGTTGTTTCTGAATCCTACAGATGATTGAATGTATATCATGTTACTAACAAAATATAATGTCTGTCGGTGAAACTTGAAAACAGTAATCATCTTCTCTTTTTCTTTCTTTCCACAATTCAGATGAAAACTATTTTAAAAAGGAAGTCGAAGAAAAGGACCATACAAAGCTCATATTTACCAGTAGCTGTCCAACCAAGAACAAAATGTTTCAAATCTTTTGTGCTTCATGGCTTCCATAGATTTTTGGGAAAAGAAGAAGCACTAGGAATAGAATGAGCGAGAAAAGGACAAAATGCAAAAACTCACCACTTGATCAGAAGTGTGCCTTAAGATATCCAGTTCATCCCTCATGGATTGTGACTCTGACGCCAGTTTACTTAGCTCTGCATTCTGAAGAAGTAGAAATAGAGGAAACAATTTCCTTTAACAAAGTCCTTTAAAGCTTTCTTCATTGTCAACAAATACAGTGCCCAATGTAATAATCTTTACACATTGTAAGGTGGAGCATAGCACAACTAATACGCACCAAAGTACAGGGTGTCCACCAATATTTCCTGAAAAAATTGACTACCTGGAAAAATTTTTTACTAACCAACAAATCAAACCCCATGATATTAGAGGTATTACATTCTGCTATTTGGCATATTCATGTTTGGCTTTAAGTCTTGAGAAAATACCTGGCAGGCAGTGTACGAACGGCAGTTAATAAAGATGGTCGCCCCCATGTGAAAGCTTGTTCTCGTGATTCTATCCAAAGTATTCTTGAGTGTCTGCCTGAAGAATGAATTGAAACTCGCCAACCGACAAAACACACACCAGCTCAAAAAAGGGAGTTAATTTGCGCAATCAACAACATAATAATATTACATATGTGTATGGAACGGGAATGAAAATAACATACAACAAAGTCCAGTCAACAAAATGGAGGATAACATACGATCGCGCGCTTGTTGGCCGCTAGATTTAGACCTAAAGCGAGCACACAAGGTGACTGCCAAACTGGCTTCTCAATTTTCCAGGGGCACGTTACAGAACAACACACACACACTCACGTTCAATATATCCAGTCAACAACATGTCAGTGTCGCACTGGGGTCTTCTTTGGCTGAAGTATTTCAGTCTGTTATTTTCCTCTCATTATTATTATATACAGGGTGATAAAAAAACAACTTTACAACTTGTTTTGTAAATATCTTCCTCCATACTGAAGTTTTGTGTTTCAGATTTGAACATACGTTTGGAAGCCAAAAGGAATTTTAGCCTATTTTAGATAAGTCCATGGAATGGTTTTGCTCTATATAGCGCATTAAAAAAACCCACCCACTTTCAACCTTGTCGCCATTTTCATAGCATGACGCACCAGTTCGAATTAGGCCTACCACTAAAAGTTGCAACAATCGCGCCATATTGCAAGCTACAGCAGTCTAACAAGTCAACAGAAATCTGCAAATATTATTTTTCCCAAATTTTGTTTGCCTGCTGAGACCATGGCTATGTTTAGTAAAGAGCAGAGAGCTTTTTGTATTGAACATTTTCTCTCCACAAACTCACCATCCCTGACATTTTGTAAGTTCTGCGCAGGGCATAGAGAGAATGCTTAGGTGCCCTCAAGACTTTTAGCGTCATGAGTAAAGAAGCTCCATCAGTTTGGATCTATAGCGAATCAGAACTTTAAAAAATGACCACTTCAGGTCAAACGCGCACCCCTTTAAACGTCACCAGAGTGCTGATTTCAGTAGCTGAGTCCCTTGAGATGTCTGTTCGTAGACTATTTGCAGCTAGGACTTTCCTACACATCAACAGTCTGCATTCTCATGGCAGATCTTAACCTACGACTATACCATGTTCATCTTCGCTAGACCAAGATGACATGGCTCAGACCATGGCAATGTGTTCATGATTCCTCGATTGTCTTGTAAAGAGGGATAATTTCCTTGATGACATTTGGTTTAGTGCAAAGATCATTTTCACCCTGCGGGATATGTTAACTCCAAAAATGCTGTCTATTGAGCACCCTACTCTATTGTCTCTAGAAGCCACTTCTTGGTGAACATGTATAGTGTATGTGGCTTTAAAAACTCATGGTTTAGCAGGTCCTTATATTAGGGCGCCACTGAACATTTCGAATGAGCGTTAAAAATGTGTCGAGTCCAAAGGAGGGAATGTGGAGCACTGCTTCTAGGAATTTCAGAATAAAATCATTAGGCTTTTTTTAACCTGTAAAAAGAAATTAAATATTGTTTAATTGTCACAGGGATGGAAAATTAATGTCAAAGAGAAAATAAAGAAAAATATCAACTAATCTTTTCAGGACTTCCTTTACAAGATTTTTAAACATTGGTGAACTTCGCGTTTTTGGGTGCTTTTTTCCTTTAGCCGTTTCTGTTTTCAAAACATGTTTCTTCTTCGTGGATTTCATATTAAACAAATTCCTTTTGAATGAATTATGTCTGTTCCAAATTACAGCAGTCTAGAACAATTTTTGCGCGAGATATTCAGAAAAAAAGTTGTAAATTTTTTTGGGGATCACCCTGTAAATAGAAAAAAAAAAAAGAATCCTGCTTTGAGCATGCCGAAGTGCCTAAAACCAGAATATCGACTGTCAAGAACCAGTCTGGGTGTCATGATTCATATTATGAAGGTGTAAGTGAAAGAAAAAAATTATTGCTCTAACTCAAAGTAGAGTAATAACTTGAATGGCTCAAGTAGACCCATGCACAGACCTGTCACTCTATGAAATATAAAAATCAGAATTTTAGAGTTTAAAAAATCAGGATCTGGTGAAAAAAATCGGGATCAACGGCAAATCAGTCATAAGGGGCACTGGGGAAGGGGGGGTCCTGGTTCCCTCTTATGAGGCAAGTACTCAAGACAAAACTTTTGCAGGAATAAGTTCATGTTTGGGCCTCTAAATAGAGGGAAAACTGAAAGACAGCACATATGTACTCAAGTCGGAGTTGGATAGACTGGGGGAGCGCAGGTTGCAGTAAAGCTGAAACTCTCGTAGTCTTGAAAATAGCTGACAGATAACTCTAATCATCCATGCAAAAGCCCGCGTTTTCATACAGTAACAATGTTTGACTTCCATCGCATACACTCAAGGCCCCCCCCCCGAAAAAAAAGATCGCGCCAAGTTTGTTCATTTTTTTCTTTTCTTATTTCTTTCCCCTCAATTAGTACCTGTATCACGGCACGCACTTTAAGCCCAAGTGTAAAAATATCCCCCCCCCCCCCTCGGTTGTCCACACTGGTTAAGTCCCGAAAAACACCTCGACCAATGCGACTGGTGTGAATGAACTTTGTTGATCCCGACACACGCGCTACTCACACGTGCGAGGTCATGTCACGTGATGCGAATGAGCGTTTGAAAGTTCCACTGACAGGTCTTGATGATGGGCACGAGAAAACCAGAACTCAGACAAAGCTTGCTTTTAAAGCAACAGCAAAACAACGAATACATTAATATAAGGCCCATGTCATTTTTGGTACAGTAACCAGGACACCATCGAAGAATTCTGGGTTATAAAAGCGAAAGTAGATCTTGAGTGTATCTAAGTCGGAATTTTAGTTGAAATAATGTGCGTAAGTCATCTACTAGATTCGGCATAGATGCTTTAAAAAATAGCATTCCAAGTTCCTGACGATAAAAAGTCCAATCAGTGCTTCAAAGCAAAAGAGACTGGAGAACTTTTAATACTTTTTTCTAAGAATAAGAGGCAACAAACGCAACGACAAAAAATCAGGATACTGGAGATCAAAATCGGGAAAATCTGGATGCTTGAGATTTGGGGCAAAAAATTGGGATATCCCGATTAAATTGGGATGAGTGGCAGGTCTGCATGCAGTGTGGGAATTGGAACAACTGAGGGAGGGGAAGATGCAGTGACACTGAAAATCTGCCAGTCTTGAACAAAAAGCTACAATAAAGTTATAATTTACTATCACCCATCTAATGAAACGTGTACACTTCGGTTCAATAACACGGCTTACAAGGTATGAAGGATCCTGATTCCACACACGGCCTGCACCAACATGTGCTTTGCAGAGAGCTCCAAATCTAATCAAAATTCTTGAATATGCTTCCAAGTCTTTGTCCTCTGGTGTTGCCTTCAGCACTCACCCTCCCCCCCCCCCCCCCCCGTGTATATGATAAAAAAAAATCAATAATCCCCTCTCCCATTCTATAGTCCTATACTTCGCAACGCTCAGACTTTGAATGAATTTTGGCGACCCCAACAACTGCCGATAGATTTAGATCTACTCACACGATGATGCCGTATCATGTGATGCAAACGCGCGCAGGTTCACAGACCGGTCACGATGGAGAGCCCGACAATCTAAATCAGACGACGCTTGTATTTTCTTTTCTTTTTTCCCACAAGTGACAACACAGTGACGAGTCCGAGCATTGATTAAATCTTATTTGCACGGAGACACAGGGTTCACACTGCACAACCCGCATGTCACAAATTGCCAGCAAATTTCTGGGTGGTAATGAAAGCGAAAGTAGATCTTGATTTTCCTGATCGAGCCTTGGTGTCACATACACTTCCACCTGTTAGTGCGAAACATACTCTTGGACATGGAAAAGCTGAACGCATTATTATTGTCACAATCGTGACCTGCAAAAATGAACTCACTGACCTTATTGGATTTGGTTTTCAAATAGTCGAGTTCCGTGATACTGATACTACCAAAGATCCGTTCACTGAAATGTCTTGCCGGGCTCATTTCTCTATACGCACAGGGTTGGGTTAATTTAAATCAGTTGATTTTTTAAATTTAAATCAACTTGATTTTTAAAATAAAAATCAGTGATTTAACTCTTTTTATCCGGGCTACGAGTATACTCGTAACGAGGACCAGCCCGGGCTACGAGTATTCTCGGAACAGAGATACGGTCTCGTCAAAGAAGCTAGTTCTGCTTGTTATTACCAAAATACGCAAATACGGCGATGCTAGCTCTGTCTGAATATTTTAATTTTCCAATGAACAGTGGTTTCTTTGTTTTTGATGGGTGTAGAAGCTTGAAAGATGTCTCGAAAACGTACATTCACGACCGACGAAGTACTTTTTGAAGTTGCCCTGGGTTGTGAGGGGGAAAGATACTAATTTGATGATAGTGACTCTGAAATAAGTGCCGTAAATTCTGTTGTGGATGATAAGAAACATGACTTAGACTCATTTAATAGCGATTCAGATCATGGTGAAGGGGTCAGTACTGGAATTCGTGTTCGATGGGTAGGGCTAGATCTAGATCTATAAAATCCAATGGGACGTTGTGGGCGCTGCAATCAGGGTCAAGTTCGAGGGTGGAATACACCTCAAAATCTACATTGTGCTATTGGTATATTTCCTAACAACAAACATTAACAAAAACTACATTCAATTTCTAACATAACTGCCAAATTTCCAAAAAATCTTAGAGGAAAAGTAAGAAATATAGCACTTTGAACTATACGCACTGACTTTCGACTCTTACGGCGCGGCGCCCCAGGACGGGTACAGAGTCCGTGGGGGTACGGCTAGGATAAAAAGAATTAAATCACTTTTAAAAAAATTTATTTTTATTCAGCTTTTACACATTTCAACATTCAGAATTCCTTTCCTTGGTTTCAAAAAACAGAAATAAGGTTTAGTAGACTAATATAATCATGCTTAAAAGTCTGCTTTCCCCCCTGTCACTGTAAAACGATACAGTTCTCCATTTACTTTTTTTTTCATAATTGAAAACCAGGGTTGGGTGATTTAAATCAGGTCGATTCAAATCAGTTGATTAAAAAAAAATTTAAATCAACTTGATTTTAAAAATAAAACTCAGAGATTTAAATCACTTTAAAAAAATGTATTCTGTTTTTACATCTTTAAACATTCAGAATTCCTTTCCTTGGTTTTATAAAACAGATATAAGGTTTAGTAGACTAAAATAATCATGCTTAAAAGTCTGCTTTCACCCCTGTCACTGTAAGTAGTAAAATAATTACTGTATTCAATTTACTTTTTTTTCATAATTGAAATTAGCATTTTCTTTTTCTTTTTAGACAAACACAAGCGCGCGCACACACACACTGTAATAAAATGCAAGTTTATCTATGCATAATTACCCCCCCCCCCTTCCTTTAAGACTGACATTTTCTTCATTTTTTTGTCTGGAGCCATAATTCACTGGATATAGCAGATTAAGGCTTTCTAAAATTGCAGTTGCCTTTAAATTAATCATTAGTTAAAATAAAGACAATGCATTTTGCACTAAAAGAACTTACTTTTAGCCACCAAAAATCCCAAACTGAGTCGACATTTAAAAAAAAATATTAAAAATTTTAAAAATCCGCTTTAAATAAAAAAAGCTGATTTAAATTAAAAAAATTGATTTTTAAAATTTTTATTTAAAAAAAAATAAAATCACCAACCCTGTATACTCAGGTTCAATTTTGGACTGTTTACTGACTGTTTACTACCGTTACGACACATTTACTACCATTTACAACCTTTACGACCAGGGCGAAGAATTTACGACTTTTTTTACAACTTAAGGACCTTGTTGGACACCCTGAAAGTAGTACTCCTTTCCATAACATTTTGATATCCAAGTCTCATCTTCTGCAAGCTGTTTGAACTAAGTCTGATGAGGTAAAAATAATATTAAAAAAAAAACAGATGAAAAAGGTCCTGCCGCATCACCCCCCCCCCCCAATCCTTTACCTTTGATCAAAATTCGCTTTCAAGGACGATGATAGGCCTACCTAAATATTCTTTGTACAGCAACAAATAATGTGGCCGAGTCTTTTACTTGAAACCCAATGTCCTCAAAGATCACATTGCGTTTGGTGTCCATTCATTACTTACCTTATCCTTTAACTCTTTGAGATCCTTGTTCAAAACTTCATACTTTATCCTGTAGTCATCTCGTCCTGCAACAAGGATATAACAAACAAAACCATTTGCAAATCGCAAAACAACGATACAACTACAACCCCCCCCCCCCCATCAAATGCTGCTAAATCATATCTGTAACTGTTACTACAAAGCAAAAATTTGGGCACATTGAACCATGGGCGTGAAAAACATGTGAAATTAAGGATGCATACTGTCATAAAGAAATGGAATAAGGCATCGTATTTTGGCAAGAGGCCAGCAATAATTTTTAAAAACAGATTAACCCTACTGTTTTCAATAAGTCAAAATTTTAAAATCATTATCTTACTTATTTTATAAATGAAACATAAAAACTCACCGGACTCGATTTTAAAAATCTCCTCTTGCAAAGTTTCAATCTGATGTTGGAGTTGTGCACATCGCTTGCCCGCCGGAGTGCTGTTAGGAGATGCAAATGATGAAATAAAGGGCATGTAAACAAAATGTCCTTCATTCAATAAGTATAGCAGCTGATGAAACTTTAAAAATGGTAGCTGCAATGCCTTTCTCAAGTCAGTGCTTATGTTGTACCTTAAAAATTTCTGGCTAGGATTTAGAAAAGAAAAAAAAAAGAAACCAAATGCTCTTTGTATCAAAATCTTTTTGAATTGTATTTGACTGCCAGCATGGTATAATAAATGTTTCATCCAAAATATGATTGCCACTGCACTTCTTACAGTTCAGAACAAACAACCATGACAAACTAAGAATTAGGAGTTACCTTGGATCATCTATGCTTTCTGCTAGTTGCAATCTTTCAATAAGTTTTTCATTATCTGCAATAAGACTTTGTCTCTCCTCTTGCAAACTGGCAACCTGTAAAATAAAATTACCATTCCAAATTAGCTCATTTACATTTAGAGTGACATAAATTCATCATTTTATTTTAAATCATGACATCATTTCATATTTTATTCACTTTCATATGCTTGGCTTTTTAAATTTCATGACAGTTCAAAACACACAGCCATATATAGCATTCATATCACAAGAGGCTCTATGACAAACCACCTTCACAGTGGTGAGGCAAGTAACAATGTAAAAACAAACCATCTTAACTCCTTATGATCTCTGGCAAGCCATTCCCAGCGGCTCGCAGTCGAAACTGCAGTATCGCTCGAGCACATGCCTTTATTACGACTTCGACATCACATTAGTTTACGACAATTGCCAAAAACAGTTTTTACCAGGAGCTCTTAGGTGAAGAAATATCACAATAGGTTTACTTGTTTTTATTTAATGACCAATTTAGTGACGTACATGCACAGAATTCTACACTTATAGAACGGGAACTGTACCACATGACCTGTGAGGAATTGAAGACCGAAAACAATGGCGTCTTGAGGGCACAATTTATCATTTTCGGAAGTAACCCTATAGCTTTTAAAGCAAGAGCGGCTTTTACAAACGAGTGAAAAGTGGAACATTTACTGTCCAGTTTGTAATTTTGAGTTACAGAATTCACTGTGCAACTAGAGATTGGAATTAAGGTTTTAAATTGTTGTGTTTTTGAGTGCAACAACATAAACAGCAGACATAGAGAGTTTATAAATATAAGATCTACAGAATTGTGAAAAATTCGTAACACGGATGGGATTGTTCACAGCACTTTTAGCTTCCCACACACATTTTGCATACGCATATGGCCTACGTAATTTTTTAGTAGCAAAACTTGTTACAAGAAATTTGTTTTACACTGAACATATTTTTTTACTAGATCTAATTAATGTTCTCAAAACATGCGTTCAATAATTAACTTTATGTCGCCAGCAGAAGTAGAAAAAAGGACAGACTAGCTTTTAAAAGAGATTTAGCTCCAGCTATAAACTTTTTAAAAATCTGTAGAAACCATTGACTTGGATTTTTTTTTAAATATTGGGCTAGTATTTATTAAAGAATTTTCTTTAAAGAAATTTCTACAATAATATAGAACCTATAGATGTGTACAAATGTTTGAAAAAAATACTCATCGGTTAAGACGAATTGATATAGATCTAAGTCATTGTGTAAAAGTAGGAGAATCTAGATGTAGGTGTTCAATAGTTCAGTAGCCTAGATATTTGATAATAAGTTGCGCATCAAATTTTTGACCGAATGCTACAGTAGTAGAGATAGCGTATTATTTTCATCTGAAACATTAATTTCTGCATCCATACACCTTTTTGGGCCTTTATAAGCACATGTAGTCCTACTTTAATTATGTTACTTTCATAATTGTTTTTGAAAGCATTTTCAATTCCTTTCACTTTCACTTCCCACGCGCGGGCTCATATAATTATGATTATAATTTAAGATTCCAAATCTGACGAATGTATTATAAAATAGCGTAATAGTGCTGGGTTAGCCGATGCCTTGCGATACACGCTTTTATCAATTAATTGAATTGTAACAGGACTTCGCTTTGATCTGTAACAAGACAACACTTATTTTTTCTTATACGTGTTCAAAAATGTGTGTTTGTTTACTGTGTGCGGGGATAAAAAATTAAAGATTAAAGATTCCAGACCTGACGAAAGTATTTATAAAATAGCGTAATAGTCCTGGGTTAGCCGATGCCTTGCGATATACGCTTTTATCAATTAATTGAATTGTAACAGGACTTCGATTTGATCCGTATCAAGACAACACTTATTTTTTCTTATACGTGTTCAAAAATGTGTGTTTGTTTACTGTGTGTGGGCATTAAAGATTCCAGGTCTGACGAATGTATTTATTAAATAGCATAGTCCTATAGGGCAGGGGTGGCCAACCCATTGCGATACACACTTTTATCAATTAATCGAATTGAAACAGGACTTCAATTTGATCCGTAACAAGAGACCACTTATTTTTTCTTAATCGTGTTCAAAAATATGTGTTTGTTTACTGTGTGCGGGGATTACAGGGGGACAAGCCCATCCCCTCGACATGTGATCCAAGGGATGGGGATACATTTTTCTCAAAATGCACACAGCTCTGAAATCCTTGACCAGTGATCACTCGCCATGGAACTCTTTCTGTTGTGACTGTAGACACAATTTCTTCATTATCACATCTAAATGAGCCTATCATTCATGCATTAGAAATCACACTCCCAACACACAGAAAATGACTTTGAGCATATATTCAGGAAACATATGCCAGTTCCACTCTTGTCTACTTTGTTTTGCATTATTGGCTTTCATGTGAAAACCAATATTTTGAGGCCTTTTCTGCATTTTTGTGTTTTTGGCAGCATGTACAATAGGCCTATGTATTTTATGTGCAACCGACACATTTTCCAATCTCTTGTATTTGTTAGACTCGCACGTGCTTTAAACAAAGCATGTTGTTGTACACGCTACTGATGCAAACACAGAGATGAATTCTTAAAATGAGAAATAATACATTTCCTCAATATAAGCTCAATTTATTTATCTCTTTCTAGTAAATTGGAGAAAAGGCTTATATTGTTCTTTTTTGCTTGCTTTGGATGGCCTTAAGTTTAATGATAATATTATTGTAGTGAGCATGTTACTGTCAGCGTCCCCTTATCGTAGATCTAGTACTAATCAAGACTATATCTAGATATTCTGCCAACAGAATTAATGTTCATAATTAGTGTTATTATCAAGTGTATTGTGATTGTGAAGATCTTTAGTAGATCTAGATATCTAGAGATCTAGATCTATCTAGTTCTAGATCCCATCCCATCATTAAAAAAAACAACAAACCAACAATACAAATACAAAAACATTGTAACATTGCCAATTATGACATATTGTAGGCAATAAAAATGTACTAGACTATTTCACTATATTTCCTCTTTGAAGAAAGTTTTAAAATACTGATGTAAGGTGTCTTCCAAGCCCTACCACTAGCATCAGCGTGCATAGCAAAGCGAAGCCTCGCTGTGCGGCGCAGCCAAAGGTGCCCTCAACCGGCCGCCATGTTTTAGTTTCAATTCCTCGCAGCGAATCGGCGATCGCGAAGAGGGAGTTCCGCTTCTATAAGTGTAGAATTCTGTGCGTACATGTTACTTTTAGATGTCATACCAAAAGAGGCGCATGGCACAGTGGATTTACCCTTCTTGGAGATAAAGAGTTAAACAGCAGAAACACATTCAAGGTAGCTGGTCCAAAGAGAAGGTGAAGTTTTCGATTTTTTGTTACCTTAGTAAATACAGCAATAGAATCTGGGTTTGTTTCATGACTAACTTGTAAGGTGCATGAATTGAGAGACAATAAAAGACTATTACGAAAGACAATGACAGAAGAACAGTGCAGCTGGCAAAATCACAAACACAACTTAATGTTTACGAGCAACGAAAAAAAAAATATTACAAGAATTTTTGTCCCCTGACCCCTTAGTTGCCTTATGACTAACCATGTACGCCACTTCCTGAATGATCCATATTGTGTTGATGGGGGTGTGAAACATCAATATTTTAAAAAATACTAAAATGTTGATGCTTCCATGCGGTGTGCAAAAGGGTAAAAGTAGAGTATGCTCAGGCATGTGCTTGGATCCACAGGATCAAAGAGTGCAAAACAAAACTTATGACAAACTGCTTACACATATAATGCCAAACAAAGTCCAACAAATTCACTTTTGATTGTCTACTGCGTACTGTTTATCTCATCGTTTTTGTTTTAAAACAAGATTATTCAGTTTTCTCACATGAAGACAAACAGAACAGAAAAAAACATGAAAAACATGGTACGTTTTAGTAGAGGTTTTACGGCGCTCGCAACTGCAAAATGTCATATGAGCGCCAGAAGATTAGAGGTGTTACGTGAGAGTAACAAACATAAAAAAGAAGAAGGGGAGATAAGGACGATAGTTGTTTCATAGGAAAGAAGAAGCAAACCACACCAGAGCACTCGCCAAACACCCACAAACATGGTACAGTCAACAAATCAATATCCCTTGTGGGATGGGGGGGGGACAGAAAGGAGGAGTACATGCAACAAACATCTACACAGTGACAAGATTAGTTACTTGTGCATCCAGCTCATGGCATCTGTGTAAAAATTCGTCTTTCGCTTCTAAAGCTGCATTCAAGTCTTCAACTGTCTTCTTGAGCTGAAATTAATTTTAAAAAGGCATGAATTACTTTACTTTCTCTTAATATCAATCAAGTACCAAATTCACCAAAACTGACAAAGAAAATAAGGATTAAAACAATATTTTAAGACCATATAAGCAATACACTAAATTCAATTTAAAGTGTCACGTTACTCAGCAAGACCTGATAAGAACTATCCACAAGAGACCCTTGTTTTCTTTCACATGCGAAACAAACTGTGATCTTCTGAACCCCAATGTAAAAAAATTCTCTTCTCAACTATGCTTTTACTTTACTATGTTTCAACAGCTGTAATTCAGTAATTCCCTTTCTGCTGAGCTACAAAAAAAAACACCCTAAAAGAACTTCTGGGTACTCAGAATAGAGCTTTTATTCAAGAAACACACCTGCCACTCTATGAAATCTAAAAATCAGGATCTCAGGGGGGAAAAAAATCGGGATTTGGTGAAATAAATTGGGATCAACGACAAATCAGTAAGGTGACTGCCGAGCTGACAATAATTTTCCTGGGGTGTCCATTAATATATATCCATGTATATGCCCTGTGTGTGTGTGTGTGTGTGTGTGTGTGTGTGTGTGTGTGTGTGTGTGTGTGTGTGTGTGTGTGAGTGTGTGTGAGCGCGTGTGTATGAGTGTGTGCGTGCTTACTTGTTTTACCATTATTTTCTTAAATCCTAAAGTATCTTGTTAAACACACCTCATCCAAGGGTGTAACCAAATAAGTCCTGAAAGACACATCAACCAGTGTGCATGAACCTAAGATGACCCCGCCAACGAGCGGTCCCGGACACATGCGGAACTCACACGCCAAAGTCATGTCACATGATGCGAACACGCGATTGAAACAGTTTTTACTGACGGGTCTTGAAGACTCGCCCGACTAACCAGAGCTCGGATAAAAGCTTGTGAAAATAACAGCAGAACTACAAATAATCATTTGTATGTCTCAATTGAAACAGTTATCAGGCCATCATCAGACAATTCTGGGTGGAAACAAAAGTGAAAGTAGATCTTGAGAATGTCCTAAGTCAGAATGTGAAAATGATACTACTTCCAAAATAGCACGTGTGAACAAAGATCCAACACAACTTGGGGCGAGTCAACTACTAAATCTGGCATCAAAAGTTCGGAAAATAGTGTTCCGAGTTCCTGCTGACAAAAAGTTTGGGTTTCCTACGACAGAGAAGAAGGCAGAGTAAGTTGTTAGAAAAATCCGGTGCAACAAAGAGATAAAAAAAATCGAGATACACATGATAAAAATCGGGGGAAATCAGGATGCTTGAGATTTGGGGCAAAAAAATCGGGATAACCCGATTAAATCAAGAAAAGTGGCAGGTCTGAAGAAATCAAAAGGTATTTTTGTTTTCTTTTTTTTTGGTATGTGTTTTACGGTGCCCGCAACTGCAAAGGTCATATTAGTGCGCGGGACACATTAAACATTTTTTCATTTGGTAGGAAATTTTGAATTTTGCCTGGGTGGTGGCCGAAGCCTACTCTTATCGATTTTTAACTACCAAGGGATCTTTAACGTGCGCAACTTGTACACGGGACCTCTTGACTGATGGAATTGACATGAAATTGTCAAACTGTCTCATTACTCAGAACTGCAGAAAGTGAAAAGAATACTCTCTCATTACTCAGAACTGTAAACAATACTGAGAGTACACTTAAAAAATGAGAGTATGCATTAACTTTTTCAGGTACATCAGTTAAAAAAGACATTCAAAAGGAGCTTAGGTCTAATGTGATGATCTTCGAACTTTCAAATAAAAGCTTTAAGAGGTGGGGGGGCTACACCCCCAGGTCCCGATTCGGTTCAAATTCAAAATGATGGAATTTGAGTTGTAGGCATTTTTAGCTTCCTCAGCCACTCCTACAACTATTTCATTTCTTAAGAACCCCAAAAACCGCATTTTCCCCCATACTGGGCATGTTTGTCATCACCATTTCCTCATAAAGTCAATATTTTCTTTTCTTTATCGGCCCTTTTCTCAAAACGCGACTTTTCTCTATACTTTTTCGAATAACTCCACCATTTTTGTCCAATCTTCATGAAATTTTCACAGAATGAAGAGAAGATGTAATACTAAAACTTTCTCTGTTGAATTTTTGATAAATGAAATAGATTTTTGTGTACCCCCCCCCACTGTTGTTGTTAGCGATCCAGTAGCATCTGAGCGTTAACTCTTCTGCATGATGCCATTCAGTAATAGCTACATGTCTGTTCTTATTGTTGTCTTGAGGAGTAGAGGCAATTAGATGTGTGGGGTAGCTTGGGAAGAAAACATCCCCTTAAATCAGTTAGTTTTCTACAGAAGAACAGATGATGTTCCACTGTCTCTGAGGGGTAGTCACATATTGGGCAGGCAGCAGACTGCTTTACTCCACTTCGGTTGAGATGTTGGTTGAGGGGTACATGTTGTGTTCTAAGTTGGAAGATTATGAATTGATCTCCCCTCCTCAACTCATCGATTGGATCTTTGACCAGTGGTTTATTCATGTGGCCATACATCATCCTTCCAGTCGTACCTGCGACCCAATCATTCATCCAGTCTTCCTTGAGGTTTGACTTGATCATTTGGCCGCAGGTGGTGTAATTAGTAGGAATTTCAGGCTGAGGGAGGCTAGCTCCTTTCTTTGCCAGAGCATCAGCTCTTTCATTTCCCTGTATCCCAGTGTGGTCAGGAATCCATTGTAGGACTACTCTGACTTGGTGCCTACTTACCCCCCACCCCCACCCCCCCAAAGCAAATCTTTTTTTGCAAATACAGTCAAACCTGTCCAAAATGGAATCCAAAGGGAACCAGAAAAAAATTCTGTCTGAGGGGGAGGGTGTTCCAAAGGGCCATACATTTAAAGAAAAAAAATGTATGTTGTTTTACACCCCACATCGACCAGGAAACAGGCTTTGACTGTGTCTGTCAGTACCAACCTGGGCCTAGAAGAACATAATGTCATTGCAGAAAAGCTGAAATGCTGGATAAAGATTCTCCTTATTTGTGAAAGAAACTGGGGTCTTCTGCATGCAATGGCAAAGCGCCAAACTGCTACACTACAGGTTCCATACATGGTGGGATCAATGGTAGCCTGTTCAGTCAGTAAGCAGTGGTCAAAACTTGACACCTTCAAAGTGCTATCCCAGCTGCTCTAATAATGGCACGCGTCAGTTTTATTAATCCATGGCCACCACAGAGCTGAACCACTGTTTGACCGATTAAAAACATAAATGATTGAACATCTCTCTTAACATTTTGCCATCACAAGGCTCATATAGTAAAAACCCTCAAGAATGGAGGAAATCCAAAGAAACTGGGTGGTGTTTTGTGATGGAAGAAACGGAAGTTCGGCGTTCTTGTTGACCGGCGAGATGTGAAGGTAAAGTGTAAACCCACGAGTCAAATGTAATAAGCACAATCAAACCTTCCTCCACAACTAACAATGATTTGAGGGACTTTTTTCTCGGCTGACTGAATGGTCTGGGCGTCGGCAAGAAGTAAAAATTTCACACTTCTGGCTACCCAGGAAAGTTTTCATGCTGGCACGCCACTTCAATACTTTGAAGACAAGCAGCGGTGAGATTTCACACCCACACAATCTGTACTACTCCAGGCTCACATGGATGGGGTGATACTTTACTTTTACTTTTTCATCTTTCGCTGCCATTAAGCGTCAAGGGGAGATGCAGTTTTCTACGGAAGGCCAAGTCTATGGCCCTTTCTATTGGGGTGTTATAATTTCTCAGGGTTCCCTTGAACCCCTCAATCCATCTTTTCGTTGGTCTACCTCATCCTTTATAGCTGGAGTACTTGGTGTTATAGGCTCTTGAGGTTGACTAGGTAGGTGACACTCATAACAGGTGACCAAACTATTTTATTCTGTTTTTCTATAAATAGTTGTTCCTACTTCTTCATTTCTCTGCCCGTTTCTTTCATGGGTTTTACTTAATGTCCAGGTCTTTCACTGGTAGCATAATGTTGATATAAATATTGAATGTAATAAGCTGCCAATATTCATCAGTACAAGAAAATACTCGACTATTTGACTGTGAAGAAAGATGGGGGTCACAAAAGTGGTTGACATAAAAGCAATCTGTTGCTCCTTACAAGGGGACATTCAGTACAAGCTCGCTCTCTTTTGACAACTGGAAAGACAAGCCCAAACCACACAACCACAAGCCATTAAGCATTACTGTCCCTGCACTACACTTGCAAAGAAAACCCATCACAAGTACAAAATACCAACATTTACAGGAGCTGAAATAAGTAATTCCCACTGCAGCTCATGCGTTTAATGACACCTTTGAACACTGATTTGTAAACGCATTTTAAAATAATATTTGACTGTGTGCACTTAAGCATGGGTTTGTGTGTCTTGTGTGATGAATAAATGTGACTGTACATGAGCGTTCTCATTGTAAAAAAGGAAGGCCAAATGAGACAGTTACTTTTCAAAGTATTATAATGCGCATAATTAACAATAACTATATATCCACTAACACTTGGAAGAAATTTCAAGAGCCTGTAGTAATTTGGGCATTTTTTTATGTGTAAGAAAGTACTAAAACTTGTCAATAATGCAGTTTGGCGATGTCTGTAATATCCTGGAAAAACAGTTTCAACTAGAACCTTTTCTGTTTCTTGTCCAACAGTGTAATATTTTCAGACCTGCAATTCTATGAAATCTAGAAATCAGGACCTCAGAGAAAAAAATCAGGATCTGGTGAAAAAAATCGGGATCAAAGGCAAATCAGTCATAGGGGACAATGGGGAGGGGGGGGTTCCCAGTTCCCTTTTGTGAGGCAAGCATGCAAGACAAAACTTTTGAAGGAATAAACTTATATTTGGGTCTCAAAATAGAGGAAGAACTGAAAGAGAACATGTGCTCGATTTTGAGTTGGATAGACTGGGGGAGTGCAGGTTACAGAGATGCTGAAACTCTCGTAGTCTTGAAAATAGCTACCACACAAGGTATGACTTCAATCACGTATACACTCAAGGGATCCCCCATCGAGCCATCCTGCACAGACCTCAGCTCCAATCAAATCTAAAATTTTTATTTGTACTTTTTTTCTTGTTCCTTTGTCCTGAAAAACTACATGTCTCACGTCGAACAATTCAAGCACAAAGTATCTAAAAATTACCCCCCCCCCCCCCGGGGCCCCCCTTACTGGCAAGTCCTGAAAGACACTTCGACCAGTGTGAATCAACTTTATTGACCCCGACAACCGACAGTCTCCAACACACGCACGTTTCAAAGTTTCACTGACAGGTCTCGACGACAAGCCTGACTAACCAGAACTCGGACGAAGCTTCCTTTCAAAGCAACGGCAGAACAATGAATAATGTTGATTATTTTTTGAGTCCTATATCATAATTGTTACAGTTATCAGGCCATCATCTGAGAAATATGGGTTATAAAAGTAAAAGTACATCTTGAGCATATCCACTTAGTCGGAATTCTAAATTGATACTACTTCGATTTTAGCTGAAAAAAAGAGTGCAAGTCAACTACTATATCCAGCATTGTTGTTTTAGAAAATAGTGTTCTCGGTCCAGGTTCCTGCTGATAATAAGTCCAATAGGTGCTCCCCGGAAAAAGAGAAGGCAAAAACATCATAGCTTTCTTTTCTAAGAATCCGACGTACCAACAAAAAATCGGGATAAGAGATCAAAATCGGTAAAATCGGGATGCTTAAAATTTGGGGCAAAAAATCGGGATGAGTGCAGGTCTGTATTTTATGTTTTATCCTCTAAAGGTCTACACACTATCAATTATATGCATGAAAGCTTTGGTAAGTTGTAGGTTGATTTCTCCTCTAGCAAACCATGCTTTTGAATTAACTGCAGTGTGTGATGGCTTAGTACATTTTATCAGCCTTAAAAGGAGAACGAACAATGTGCAAAGCCAATTATCGCATTACAAAAACAGCTTGTCATAAAATGATGGAAGAGGCTAGCCGTACTTAATGACGGCTAGACT